GAGAGAGGGAGACAGAGAGAGAGAGAGAGACAGAGACGGACAGACAGACAGATAGACAGACAGACAGACAGACAGACAGACAGACAGACAGACAGACAGACAGACAGACAGACAGCCAGGCAGGCAGCCAGGCAGGCGGACAGACAGACAGACATACGGGTTCACTTACTGACACGTGTTTTTAGTGTCTCACCTGCTCACTTGCCTACTGACTGAATTTTTCTTGACTCTGACGTACTGACTTGCTGGCTTGCTGGCTTACTGGCTTGCTTACCTGCTTGCTCGCCCGCTCGCTCTCTTGCCCGCTTGCTCGCTACACGCTTGCTGGCTTGCTGGCTGCGCTGGCTGAGCTGGCTTGCTTGCTTCCTTCCTGACATACATACATACTTACTTTCTCGCTTGCTTACTTACCTATGTACTTGCTTACTTCCTGTCTTGTTTTTCGTGAGTTATTTCGCTAACCAAGTAACGATAAGTAACTAGCTAAATTAACTAACTAAATTATCTACCTAGCTGCCTAGCTAGCTAGCTGGCTAGCTAGCTTGATTAGCTAGCTGACTAACTAACTAACGAACTAACTAACTAACTAACTAACTAACTAACTAACTAACTAACTAACTAATTCACTAACTAACTAACTAACTAACTAACTAGCTAACTAACTAACTAACTAACTAACTAACTAACTAACTAACTAACTAACTGGCTAACTAACTAAAAAAACTAACTAACTAACTAACTAACTAACTAACTGACTGACTAACTAACTAACTAAGTAACTAACTAACCAACCAACTAACTAACTAACTAACTAACTAACTAACGAAGTAACTAAACTAACTAACTAACCAACTAACTAACTAACTAACCAACTAACTAACTAACTAACTAACTAACTAACCAACCAACCAACTAACTAACTAACTAACTAAGTAACTAACCAACCAACTAACTAACTAACTGACTGACTAACTAACTAATTGACTAACTAACTAACTAACTAACTAACTCACTAACTAACTACCTAACTAACTCACTAACTAACTAACTAACTAACTAACTAACCAACCAACTAACTAACTAACTAACTAGCTAACTAACTAACTAACTAACTAACTCACTAACTAACTAACTAACTAACTAACTAACTAATTAACTAACTAACTAACTAACTAACTAACTAACTAAACTAGCTAAACTAACTAAACTAACTAAACTAAACTAACTAAACTAACTAAGCTAATTAAGCTAACTAGACTAACTAAGCTAACTGAGGTTCATACTTAGAATCCTGTAAGGTAATCCCAAAAAGGAACTAGTATGGGGCCTATGGGTAGACCCTACGCTCTGCTCCAGGCTGCAGACGCCGGAGTCCAGCGAACTTCTCGAGGATTCTTCGGCCTCTGGGCCATGTTCAGCCACGGGTGTAGGCGATCGGGATCTCTAGTTTTTGTGGGCTTTTAGGGTTTTAAGGGTTTAAGGTTCCAGCTCCAAGTCTGAGGTTTAGGTTTTCATCATCCGCGCCTCTCCCCCCTCACAGTTTGACGCTGTTGGTCATAAGCTTGACATCTAGCACTATACGACCATTTTGCCTAACATCCTTACCTTCGGACACTAGCCCCTCGAGTGATGTTGAAACGACACCCCCCCCCAAAAAAAAAAAAANNAAAAAAAAAAAAAAAATAACACTGCTAACTCGAAACTCTCGTGTGAACCGTTACCAGGGGGTCAGCGGGCTGTAGGGCTTGGAGCTCAAGCGTTCAGGGGTTTCAGGGTTTGGGGTTTATAGGGTTCAGGGTATGGGGTTTATAGGGTTCAGGGTATGGGGATTATAGGGTTCAGGGTATGGTGTTTATAGGTTTTAGGGTATGGGGATTATAGGGTTTAGGGTATGAGGTTTATAGGGTTTAGGGCATGGGGCTTATAGGGTTTAGGGTATGGGGTTTATAGCGTTTAGGGTTCAGGGTACAATGATGTTCTGTGCAGAAGGAGGTCCCAGGCGACTTGGCTGCAATAGTGGGGGACAGGGCAAGCCGGCAGGAGGCACGCTGTTGAGCCCTTCCTTGCTTCAAAAGCATTGGGGCCCCTTTTTTTTTGTGGCCTGGACTGTAGGGTTAAGGACTCTAAACCCTATATATACCCGGTAAGCTTTAGAACTGACAGGTCTAGTTGCAGCCTTGCTTCAATCTGAAGCTGATACTTATTCCGTCCAAAACTCAATGCTCTGAGCCCCAAAACTTAAACCAAACCCCACACCCCAAAGCCCAAGGCAAAGTTTAAATCCGAAGCTCTGCTTTAGAAAAGCCCATGTAAGCCTCCGCTCTAGACCAAAAACCTTAACACCTCAACCGCACGCCCCAATGCCCTGAACCTTAGACCTCAAATCCTAACCTGCCACCAATCCCTGAACCCTAAATCCTGAAACCTCAAAACCCTAAACCCTAAAGCCTGAACCCTGACCCTCTAAACCCTAAACGCTACGCCTGTATCCGAGGCCTTCTTGGGCGCCTTTTCGGGAGGACCGAGCTGTGATGAAAAGGGACGCCCTGCCATCAGGGTTTCCTGCGGCCGGGGGTGTAGCCTTTAAACCCTAAATCCTAGACCCTAAACCCTAAGGTTTAGGGCTCTAGAGTTCAGGGTTCCGGAGAGTTTCGAGGCGTAGGGTTTCGGCAGCCCCTCCTCAAAAGGTTTATAGGGGTTATAAGGTTTTAGGGCCTCTTCGCGCAAGTTTGAGGAATTAGGGCTTGGCTTGGGGATTGGAGTCGATGGCTTTGGTTTGGAACCTGCGTGGCCTGGACCTGGTGCACAAGGTGGAGGACATGGGGGTTTCCGAAAATAAGGGTTACCGTATTTTGGGGTCCTCATAGTAAGGATCCTACTATTTAGGGTGCTATATTAGGGTCCCCGATTCTCGGAAACCCCCATATCCATGTACAGGGTGGTGTTACGGTTTGTTTGGTCAAATGGTTTATGGTTAAGAAGGCGCAGGGGTTTTTAGTTCAGGCGTGGGGTCAGCAAAGAGGTTTGAGAGTGTTGTAGCCTCAGGGTGGTCTAACTACCATGTTTCCATGACTTCGTGGGACTCTTTCTCCATTCCCAAAAGACGAGTTTAGGGTTTAGGGCCTAAACGCTGTGGCGGGCAGCTTGGAGGCACTTCAGAGAGACCTCGTTCAAAAAGGGTTTAGGGCCATGTTTCCATGACTTCTTGGGACTCTTTCACGGAAACATCCCGCTTATCGTGGCAACCTGTGCCCACTCGACCCCAGCCTGAGGCCTGTTCAGTATCCTGAGCCAAATCCGAAACATCCCTACACCCTACCTATAGTCTCCATTGTAGTTCCTTTTTGGGGATACCTTGTAAAATCCTTAATATATATTTGGTTAAGTCCAAAAAGCGAACTACAATGGAGACTATAGGTGGTCCCTAAAACTGGTATCCCCGTGTCTGGCTAAAGGTTGCGGACAAAGAGCGCAAGTATCCGGATGTCGGATATACTATGGCGGGCCTTCATAGTGAGAGTACGGCCTGGTGTACGTTTGTACAGTTTTGGATTCGCTCAATATTAGGCAATTAATTATTCAAGATTCATGTCTCAATGTTACTCCTTAGCTTGTTCCTGGCCGTCTTGGCAGGTGCACCTCACTCGACCAAGGCGGGTAACACTCACTTCTAAACATAACACCTACACCCTGAACAGCAACGCTTAAGCCCGAAACTCTGGCCTGAAGGACTTGATCCTAGCGACAGGGAAATGTCCTTCAGCCTATACAAACGCTAATCCGCAATTCCCAAATTAAAGTCCTTAAGCCTCGATAAACTCCCATCCTTAAACCCCAAACCTGCATCGCTTGGCTGACCGAGGCCTTGGTGATGATCACAGCATTGCCTGAAGCTAAGCCGATCCCACATAGTTCATAAATTAAGGTGTGGAAGTCAGCTCTTAGTAACCGTATCCCCGTCCGTATATAGCTGAGATACAAGACTCCGCAACAAAAACCTGTAAGTATTACCGCACCTATACTGCTGTCCGAGTGCTCATTAAACCGTCAACCCGCAAGCGGAGTTTGCTCAAAGGCGTCAGTTGCTCATGAATGTTGCAGATTGCTTTAAGCACGCTGGTAAACATAAGGGTAGAATAGTTATTGGAATTCCCATTGTTAAGTCATTACAAATTGAGCTGCTACAGATCACTAGTTGGTTATTATTGTCTCAATCTTGTTTCTAAGCCTTACTATTTTAACATTAGTTGTACAAGAATCGGCCGCTTCAGTTGTTTAAAAAATACGGGTTTGGGGCTGGGTATTGCATTGTTTGGATGCGTATGGGCCTTACCATGGCATAGAATATGTAGGTCGCACAGATTGCGTGGTTGAGTTTCTAGTTGTGTTGTTGTGGTCGTCTCGATGGGCTCCTAGTGGGTCTTCTGAGGGTTTTGTGTAAGGGTCTGGTTTTGTGTCTATGGCATGTCCCTAAGATTGGGGCGAAGTGCGGTGAGAAAATGAAGGCGGCCACCGCCAACTCAGTAAACCTTTGAGACCCCAAAGACGCCAACTCAAATGAGTGTGGCAGCAAGCAGGAACCCTACAATCCACAAACCATAGTTCACGGGTTGCTCCCCTCCCACAGGGGCTTCAAAGAATCTCAGGCCTCACCCCATGATGCTGCATTTCAGCTGCATTTGACACCCAACCTCATCGGACTGAAATTGCATCTAGGACTAGGCTCTGTGGGTTTTGCACGGTTTGGCGGGGCTAGTTCATGGATCAGGAAACCAAGTCTTGAAATGTCCATACTAGAACCTTACAGTTTCAGCTGACGGCACTATGGCAACCGCCGCAGGTGTCGGGTTTCGAGTAGCAGCATGTAGCATCACCATCAACACGCGAGAATTTGCGCCCTGAGCCGTAAACCCCCAGAGCTGTAACACCTAAACTAAAACCCAAATCCCAAATTTCAACCACCAAAAATCCGAAATCCTTTCTTGCACATGGGAAAAAACCCAAAAGCCCCAAACCCTAAATTTCTCCAATAATTCTCAGGGTTTAGGGTCTAGGGACCCTACATAAACCCTATATGCCTTAAAACCCTAAAGAACTCTCAGGGTAGCATCTTCCCGACCTACTACAAAGACCACCCGAACAGGCGAAAGGGTTCGGCTGGTGGAGGATTGCCTGGTTCGGCTTTCGAGTTCAGGGCTTCGGCTGTCTCTAAAAGGTTATATAGGGCTTCATATATAGGGTTTAGGGTTAGGGTTTAGGGTTAGGGTTTAGGGTTAGGGTCTAGGGTTAGGGTTTAGGGTTTAGAGTTTAGGGTTTAGGGTACAGTAGAAGCCGAAAAGTTGGAAACCCAATAGCCTCCATCCTTAAAAAGCAATGTAATTACATGGAATCCCAGCACTGTTTGTCCTGAATCCGGTTTCCAACCTTTGGGGGGTTTACTATAGGGCTTCATATAGGGGCCTAAATAATTACCAACAATACTTTGGGAGTTCCTGAATATAAATATTCAGTAAAGGGCCCCAAAACCCTATTCTAAGTATTAAGGCCCCTACATTAGGGCTTTGAGTTTATGGTTGAGCATAGTTGGGTTGAGGGTTTGGGATCTCAGGGGTTCAGAACTCAGAAGCCCAGGTGTTCTTAATGGCTTTGTAGTTTCGAGGTCACGAATTTGGGCGCGGCAATTTCGGGTTTAAGTACTTCTTCGGCGGCACAGAAACGCAAATCCGTGAGGTACACACGAGTGTACCGTAGACACAGACATTCAGTCAGCAAGCCAGCCCGGCCGGCCAAAAAGACACACAAAGACAGACAGACGGACGGACAGCCACACGGATGCATCCATCCGTGCATCCATTCATCCATGCATGCCTGCATGTCTGCAAACATACACATACACAAAAGTGCAGACGCACAAGAGCAATCTGAGATGTTCTGAAATGCTCTTGGCTGAGCTGATCTAATCTGATCTAACTCTTTCCTGAATCGGAACCTGTACGTTATAAAATCTCTGGTTCTGAACTTATTTCTGCTTTGATTACAACCTAACTTAACCTAATCTAACCAAGCATGGCCAAATTGAAGACCATCTATCCTGATCTAACCTCACCTAACCTAGCCCACTCTGTCCCTCCGTTTGTCCATCTATTTAGATATACACGGCATCTATGTGTATAAGTTCTGTCAGCTCTACTTCAAGTCGTCCGTTATTGCCATTTTGGTTTCTTGCGACAGAATCATTGCTGGCTGCTTACACCCGGGCGCGAAGTTCCCCTCCTAGCACCCTAACCTCAAAGACGATTCGAAGCAAAGAGCATTTTGGGGGAGCCGGAATAATTGGCAACAGTATTCCTTGGGGCTCCCCGATCTGCAGAGCCTCTCAAGACTGTATTCTAATTGAGGGCCCCTATATTAGCTGACCCGCGCCCTGTACAGGTGGATGGATGCCTCTGCACGGATTCTAAAGGCAGGTTTCTTTGGTTCGGGTTTGTATGATCTGGGAGTTAGGAATGGTTGGGTAATGTTCAGGGACAGGCCATATCGTGCAAAGGCTTGAGACATTAGAGCTTCGCTTTAGGAACAGGGTGTTGGGCTGGCGACGTTTCTTCTTTCAAGGGGTTTAGTTAAGGCTTTGGATGTCGTTCTCAAGTCTGCGCCATGGGTCTATCGCTTGCAGGCTTACATGGCTCACTAGTGGGAGGGAAGAGTGAGATAGCGTTGTTGTTTAGAACGGGCGGAGCAAATGCCAGGTTGAGTCTGGGGGTTGCAAGATATTTTGAGTTTTTATCAGGGCTTTCAGGGTTTAGGCTCGTTTAGGTGCTGCTTGCAAGAGTCCTGGATGCAAAAGGCTCGTTTAGCTCAGATTTGGGAGTGGTGGAATGAACAGCTGCCCTTTCAGCTGACCCTGCACGCAAAGAAGGAGGGCACGGCACACTCTTGCAAAGCCCGATGTAGTCAATGAGCAATTGCGCTTTAGCCATTATCATGTCTTTGTCTCTGAAATGCTGTGAAGATATGTTTCCATGTGTGTGTGCGCACGCCTAAGCTTCCAATCCGCCATCTCTAGCCCTGGCACATGCGCAGGTGCTACGCACGGAGACTTCCGAGTACGAGGTGCTTCTGGAGCCAGCTTAGACACAAATCCACATTCATGATCGCTCAGCACGACTCTATACGGCCTGCATTCAAGCTACGTGAAATTCCTTGCCGTAGGCACCCAAGACAAAATCCAATCATTCAGTTGGAAAATGTCAACAGAGACCTCCACTTGAGTTTGGCTTCGTCCTTCTTCATCTTATACTTATCTTGTACATTTCCAACCTAAGTAGACACGTTCGCCGATATCTTTCAATACCTTTGTGCAACACGGCACCCTGGCCCCGGAGGTGTCGCAGCGGATAGCCGTCAACCTGTCCGTCTATCGCAATGCCGGGCATGTGGTTTGCAGCTCAGTGCTTCAAAGGCTCTCCTGGTCGGGGTTTAGTAAAGCCTATCAGCCCAATAGCTAAGAACCTGCACACCCTCAACCGTAGAGT